CTACCTAAGGTTAGAATATGAGCGAAATCGATTTTTCGACCGTTGCCACAAAATTTCAAAATTGTTCGATTTTTGCAGACATCCCCTCTTATTTGGTTCTGGGTTTCCTGYGTTTAAAATCAAAGTTATCTTTTATTTTGGGTGTCCTGTGGTATGTAATAGGTTTGGCTACCTTGAGGCTTTCTTGGGTAGCCTGTAGAATAAAAAATATGAATGAAAAAAGTGCTGCCATTTGACCGTAGTTTTGTACAGTAAAGTTTTCAGTGTCATTTTTTGTTTTCATTACTATAATATTAGCAAGTAGGTTTATGCTAAAAACAATTGACTACTCGTTCTCGTTTTCTATTATTCAAACAGTGGATTCGGCGCTATTGACAAATTACTTTGTTATCAGATCTCTCAAAGCCGTGCCATGTTTGCAATTCCAATTCCTATTTGCTAGATYTTTGTCAGTTAACTTGCACTTTATTTATTGTTTCGTCTGTTCYTTTAAATTTCTTCTTGAAGACATGTGAATAAGTTGTCTTGGATTTTTTCTGTTCTTTGAGGGAAAACTTTTAAAATGCCATCATTTCAGTAGTCAGTTGTTTGTCCGTCGTAAAGTTTGCACACCGAAATCTGGCGGCCGCTTTTTCGTGTTAAAATTGCCATAATGCTTAAGTTTTTATTTATCTGTACTGTTCAAAACCCCAATTCCTTTCCTTGATACAATCTTGTCTCTTCTACATTCGATTTTTTAGAAAACAAGCAGAGATTTCGACGAAACTTGATCATGAACTTGTTTAYTTTTCGCTACCGCTTATCTATTACAGGATAGATAATGAGTACGTTTAAGCCAATCAGATTGCAGGATTCGTGACAGTTTATGCTAAATATATGTTTTTGTTCCTCCACAAAAACCCTGAAAACTCATCGTTTTACAATGTGAAGGCCAATTCAATCGAAACTACTGTTGAAAGGAGGTTCGCTTTGTCAAGCAGCAGTTAAATATTTGGACTTTGTCTTGTGGGAGATGATATTTTTCATATATAAAGCTTACCTTCTTCGATGACCGTGAGTGGTTGCTTATGTTCTTGAAAAGCGAAGATTTAAAACAGATCGATAACATATGCATGCATGCAGGGCCAGGCTCAGGGCCAAAGAGAAGTACCATGAACAACTCTTAGTTGTAAGCCTTGCAAAATAGATGACTGGGGAAACTAAAGTTATGATAGCGTATAATGCTACTAATTGTCATTCTGGATTGAAAAGTTCTATGACTGGAGCTTACAATTAATATGTAGCACTACGTAATATCAATAAAATAAGAGGTGAGTAATAAACAATTGCATGTAAATCCAAAAAGCATATTAAGTAACCTCTTGTAATTGTTTCTCAACCTGTTTACATCCCATTGCCTACGTACAGTTCCTTTTATTTGTGAAAATCTGGCTTTAAAAAGCCCGAGGTTTCTTTCAGTTTAGAATGGGAGATTTATCTGCTGTGAACTTTGTAATTGTGATTTGTTCTGACTTACCCGGCCGGATCCATGTTTCTTGACAACAATTCAAGTTCTACATTATATATTCTACATATTCTGCACATAACACTGTATATATCAATTACTAAGCTTACTTTACAAATGTTCTAAATCTATTGAAGCTTATTAGTATATGCAATAGGACTCCATGCTGTCCAATTAAGAAATAATTGGATGAGGAAAATTCCGAGCACTTCCAAAATTGGATGAGGCCGAGTCCAATTTGGTAGTCAGAGGAATTTTTCGAGTCTAATTATTTCTTGATTGGAGAGCATGAAATCCCATTACCTATTAATTATATAGCTGCCTAATTAATCCCATATCAACAAGGACTGCCCAATTAAGAAAATAATTGGACAGTTACCTATATGGGATTAATGAGAATTAACATAGAAAAACTAACGAAATTTTGCAAATGTTATGGAACACATATTGGGGTTCAGACGAATAAATTTTGACTCTTCAATTGTCTTTCCTGTTGTAAAGTCTCTTCAAATATGTCATTTACTACACACTTGCCAATTATTGCTCCATATTGACCATATTGCTATAACCGTATTGAACTAGAGTGCTCACACTAAATCTGTGAAACAAATACTAATTTTTAGCACTAAAAAGTGATAATTAAAAAATAGAAAACAAAGGATTCTGTATGAACTAATTAGTACTATTTAATAATCACGGTTTTAGTGCGTGCACTCTATAACTTTTCTTACATATTATATGATCACTAGGCCCCTCAAGATAAAGGATGGTGAAGACTACTGTCAGGAACTTGTGGATTCTCAAATAAGAAGGTCAAATCAAATGCATCTTTTGATTTATGGTATTAGGATGACTTGAAGCTAGACGATTTGCTGCTTTGCTGTTTTGAAAAAGTGATTGGTCTCCCTCCTTGTTCTATAATGGCAGCTATTAGCTGGTTGGATTATGTGAGATTATTGAATGAAGATAGAAGGCTTTGGAATTTAAAAGGGCTATAAATGACTGAAATATTTATGTACCCATTTCTTTGAACAGTTACTGAGATTTGGAATGAGTTTACTTACTTCATGTGCAACACTCGTATTTAATTTAGGATGGGAGGTTTGAAATTTCTGAGCACTTTATAYGTTGGAATTTTCATGGCCAGTTTGATGGTTTGTTTTATTGAAGTGTGGTACATGTGTGGGAGCTCATTGAAGGCTAAATAAACTTATTGTGCTCTGACGATTCAAAATATTTTTAGTCATCAACCAATTTTTTGTAAACTAGCTAAGAATAGAYCTAATCGGCTAACGTGTTGCTATAAATGTTTCAACCCAATTCAAACCACATGAGACTAAGTTTCATTGTTCCTTATTTTTTGGTTTCACAGTTGAATCTGTAGAGACAAACGCTTCTATTCCCAGAAGGTTTGAATTGGGTGGTAACGTACATAGCAACACGTTAGCCRATTAAGTCTATTTCCTCAGGCATGAACCAAACCAAAAAAGTAGAGGTATTTGCTTTTGTTCCCAATGTTCTGCTACAGTAATGTCTACTATTTCATGAAAATTTGCAGCAAAATACCAGCAATTAGGTAGACAATACATATCTTTGGTTTTGTTTCCCAGATACATGTATATGGCTTGCACTCCATGACCAAATCCACATTACTGGAAAGTCACATAATTTCTACCTGTTGATTAGGAATATTGAAATAATTTTGGTTTTCCCTCTAGTTTCCCAGCTAGTACCTCATTAAATTCCTGTTGAAGCTAGCAATGAGAAGAAATTACTATACATGTTACAAGCACATAAATACATTGGCATGTTTTAAAAGATGTTATGAACACCTATTTAACATTGGGGATACTGTCATATAGCATATTACTTATGTGCAGAGGGCTATAAAAATGCTTCTGTTTGACCCTTCTTCATTAATAAATTCCATGTTCCTTTTTTCAATATTTTTGTGAGCCTATAATATATTTTTTCCAGTCATATTTAGCCATCTTTGCCAGCTTCCACATTTACATTAATTCTATAAATAACACATGGATTTGGTTATCAACATTTTACACACACTAGGTACAGCCCCTTTTTGTACCATCTGCGACCTTACCAACTCCAGACATTTGGAGGTGCTTGGCATTTTGGATGCTGCCAATCAAACTTACCACAGTCCAACGGCATTCCGATTGCAAGCAATAATTATTTTCCCATGGGTAAATTCGATTGGTGATAGCCAAAACACCAAGTGGCTCCAAATGTCTGGAGTCGGTTACATTGTAGATACATGAAATGGGCTGTATTTTCTAGAAGTATTTTTTCCTTTGATAAGTACAAGTGGCAGGTATAGGAGGTGTACATGATGAATCTGTGTAAGGTTACTAAAGTAAAGGTGCTCTTACTAGTGGTGGAAAAGGGTCAATTTTAAATCATTTGAATTTGTTGCGGCTTTTTTGGAGGAGGGTCTATTGAAATTGAAAGATGAAATTGAAAATTTTGATTGATTTGATCAAATTGATTAATTGTCTCATAAATATCCGAGTGTGCAATTTTTTCTAACAATTCTAAGATGGATGAAATAGGCCAATATCAAGTTCCAAATTACCACTGTGTTCCTTGATTACAGACACTCAGGGTTAGACACTCAATTTCTACCAACAATAAAGTAAACAATGCACAACTTCAACAATACAAAAACTTTGAAATTTACCAGACCTTCACTGGAACACATGAATATTCTGCACAAAACAGGGTCAGGTGTTCAAAGCTGGATTAGCGCTAATCAAGGATTAACTCTATAGGTCTTATAAAGAGTTAACCCAGGATTAGCACTAATCAGGCTTTGAACAACTGGGCCAACAGCAAGGACAGCTATACTATGTTTTAATTCTCAATGGCTGAAATTTGTATATGTAATAGGACTCCATGCTGTCCAATTAAGAAATAATTGGACGAGGAAAATTGCGAGCACTTCCAAAATTGGATGAGGCCGTAGGCCGAGCCCAATTTGGCAGTCAGAGGAATTTTTCAAGTCTAATTATTTCTTGATTGGGGAGCATGAAATCCCATTACCTATTAATTATATTGCTGCCTAATTAATCCCATATCAACAAGACCTGTCCAATTAAGAAAATAATTGGACAGTTACCTATATGGGATTAATGAGAAGCTGTATAATTAGAATACTTAACAGTACACATTAGAGGGACAGGCTAAGTTGATTATTTTTCAGGATAATAACTACAGACAAATAAACTGTTCCATAAACAATGTATAAATGAGCTTGATTGTTTTTCATTTGAAGAAAAAAAAGGTTAAAACTGGCAATAACAATGGTTGAATTCATACCAGAAATCAGTTGGACTTGCAAATGAATTCTAAGCAATCCCAATAACACCGTGAAAAGCAAATATGGCACCATGAAAAATTACAAAAGCTGGGCAAACAAAATATGAAAGAACCAAACTTTTCTGTGTTTGATTTTGAGTAAATTGCAAAATTATTTTTCACTCACTTTGGCTTGGAGCTGCTAAATGAAATCGCATTGAAACCGGTCTGGCATGAATTTCAAATCAATCCAACTTCGGAATTTTTGTTAAATGTCCAACACCATGTGTGGAAAACCTTTCCCACTGGAAGGGAGAGTGTGTAGAAAATTGGGATTTTCTTGGTGAGCTACCTTTCAACTTCAAATCACAACTATGCAGATGCAAACAATTCATTTGGGGGGGGGGGGGGGGGGGAATCTTTTAGAGGCTTTAAGCAAAAAGTGAAATTTTTGAATGAGCATGCATGCTTATAAAACTGCTGTTAAGTGTACATGTAGGTGCCTTTGCTTGATTACCCATTTTCTCCATTTTTTATCTATGTTTCTAAATCTTGGACGATGAGTACTTTGCTAAAGGTTCAGAAAATTTGATGTTAAAGTTTAGAAGCACTAAAAATTAATAATGTCAAAGTTTATTTTAATTATCGAAACATTATATAAGGCTTTCAATCTTGAGCYTGAAATGAGCAATCAAAAAATGGAGAAAATCGGTAATCAATGAAAATGCACCAACACTTTAACAGCAGTTTTACCTCATTTCCAATTAAAGTAAAAACATATATGCTAATTTGATAATTTCATCTTTCCCTTAAAACCTCTAAAAGGTTGAATTGTTTGCGTATTTGTGATTTGAAGTTGAAAGGTAGTGCAACCAGCTAGAAAAACCTATTGAGCCATCTTAGGCCACATAGTTTAAGGTGGTTCAACCCAGTTTTTAGATTGCAGAGGTACTTGAATTGAAACATCTATATAGAGGCTTTGATTTGCACCATCACGTGATGGCAGCCTTGACAGAACGCAAATCAAAATAAACTTTTTCCTCTGGAAACTACATTCTATCTCATGTTAATCAGATTAGACCAGATTCAATTGTTGCTGCCTCCTGTCATAGGATATACAACTCAGCTAGGCTGCTGCAGACTTACATTGAAAATGATTTTTCACACACAATACACATAAACCTAACCATGTGCAGGCTTTACACTGATGCTAGTTTGGTTTACTACAATTATAGTCAAATTTGTAAAAGAGTGATGCTGTTTGTTCAACACTGAGAGTTTTTAAGACCGCATACTAGGCATTTATTTTATTATTAACCAGTACAAAGTGAAAACCATGGTTGAACAAAGAACAATGTTGGAAAACATCACTCTTTTACCAGGGAATTGAGTTAGCAGTTGAGTTGAGTATGAGTTGAGTTTGAGTTGCGCGATGGGAGGCTTTTACCTGGTCTAGAAAATACTTYTAATTCCATTTTTCTTTGAAAATATGCTTCAAATTGCRAAATCGCCGAATGTTTACCATTCCACTTCACTTAAGTCTTTCACTTGATCAAGCAATTACGTACCTTACAAAAATTGTGGTTCGTTTGGCCATCACCCCACATCTTTATTATTATGGTAATCTCATCTTATTTTGAAGTAAGTGTGAGGTGGTTTTCGGAGTTTTTTACAGAATTTAAAGCTTAAAATCATGAAAACTTGCAGTTATAATTTGCAGAAAGACATCTTAAACAATGCGCCATCTTGGTTGGCACAGATAGCCCAATGCTAAAAATACAGGGATCCCACACATGGAGATGACTGATGAAAGTCGAATCRAAGTGTTAACCCAAAGCAAAATATTTATTCGAAAATGAGGTTTATAGGCCTTCATAATTGCTTATTTCCCGTATATTTCCTATAAAAAAAGCCTGACAAAGCAACATTCTAACACAAATGCAACAAAACATCTTTGTACAATTAAAAATATTGCTTCAAACAGGCATTTTATCATAGTACATCAGCTAATAAGTGCTTAAAAAAGGTTTTGAGTGTTAACCCAAAACRAAAATTGGGATAAAAACTCATACGAAAGTCTAGCTTTTAGGGCTTTTTGCCATATTTTTGCTTATTATTGAAAAAACATACCCTCTTAATGTGTATCATCGTCAGATGGAGTTTGTTGATAAACACGAAGTATTGCTTTTGCTTTATTATAATGCATATGGGTGAGTTATTTCGGGCTGCCGGAAGTGGTTTTCACTTCATTCGAACTAGAGAAAAATTAACTGGAAGCAATAAACGACTAAATTTGTTTAAAAAATATCAAAGTAAATAAAGACAAAAAGGATAAATAAACAAATACAAAAAAAAACATGTGAAAAGATCATTTAGGAAACTCAACTCAAACTCAACTCAAACTCAACTCAACCGCTAACTCAGTGATTATCCTGTCTCTTACCTGCAGTGTGACTCATAATTTTATTTAATATTTGCAAATTTCTGCATGAGAAACCAATGGGAAAAGCATGCAAACTGCTTTTAAAGCTAGGTCTGGATTTCGAGATAATTCGCAAAATGTAAAGTCAAGGACATCCTAATGATGGATGGTGCTAAGAAAACTTCGATTTCAACCAAACTAGCATCAGTGTAAACTTTTGTCCATGCGTATTAAGTGTACTAAAAATCGTGTTTAACTTAATTAGGTCTGTAACAGGAGTTATAGCCATTTAAATCCAAGTACCTGTGCACTCTAAAAAATGGGGTTGAGCCATGATGCCACCTTAAGAGTATAATGCACAAATTGTTCAGTTTACAGATACAAGCATGAAAATTGGCACAGCGATAGATGACCACATACTGAATAATTCATGTTGTAGTCATCAATATAGAATTTACAAAATGATGGCGTCATCACAGGGACCAATTAAAAAGTGAAAAATCAAACAAAAAATACATTTGTGAAAATTCACCCGAAATGCATGTCTGAAACGCATGGTGAATGTTCGACGATGTTCACCATGTAATTCTATATAGAGGACAACAAGTTATCCCCAAAATGTAAAGCTGAAATTTCATGCCTAATACCATAGAGGATAAATTACTCACAAATTTGTGGCGTAGTTTCTTCTTTTTCAAAACGAGATGGCGTCTAGATTGTTGAGACTGGGAAGACAAAGAAAACAATTATTTCAATCACCAAGTTGGCAAAGAATTTAAATACCCCCAAAACACATCCATAATTAATGGAGTATTTCAAAACTGGTGTGGCAATGAAAACTGTCAGAAAATCCAGACAAACTACAAGCTAGAGAAAGCCTTACCTCAGAACATAGTTAATAGAGGGGACTGGTTGGGAAACACAGCGAACTTCAAAAGTCTAATTTTTTGCAAATTCTTGAAATAATCTAATTGTCTGCTCTTGCCTCCAATCAAAAAGACTATCAAAACTGACACGGTCCGAATGTGCCGTGGTACATAATCAAAGGAAATTAATATATTTATGACCGCCAGAATTCTCTGCTGTAATTTGTCCTTTATATCACTGCAGTGCAGTTGGTAATCACATTTTCAATTCCTGAAATTAGGGATAACTTTTACTTGTGTTTGCATGATTTTTTTTACCTTTATGAAACACCCTCAGACCCAGCTAGATATTTTCAAGATGCATTAAGACAAGAATCTTCAATAGCAGATATTAGAACTATTACACTCTGTAGAGGTTTTGCACCATCACATGCCCATCACATAATACTTCTTGGGCTTCCTGTGGTCTCATGGCAGAACAATCTCTCTGCTCTTGGGAACCCAGGGGGTGTACTCGGGTGGGTAACATGACAGGAGTGTCCGACGGAGCTTCATATATATTGCAACCCAAAAAAATACTCAAACCTGAAATTTTACACCCAAAAAAATACATGGCATCCAAATTTCTGAACCAAAAAAATGCAAGAATTAAATTATTACTTCAAAACTGATTTATTGAATTTAACAGGCTCTTCAAATATTTTTCTGATACAAAAATYGAACTCGGAGATGTGACGACCCAAAAAAATATGGGTTTCATTTCGAGACCTAAAAAAATACGTGGCTGGACTCTTGACCCAAAAAAATACCGGGAATGAAAATTGTCAACCCGAAAAAATATGTCTGACCTCCCCATCACGTTACCCAACGAGTACACCCCCTAGGCTTCTGAATTGAATCCTTTCTTATGCAAAGCAACTGTATTGTTCTTGCCATCTAACATATAATGGTTGCTGTCACATGGTGGTGAAAAACCTCTATTGCCTTCATACAATTGTTACCAGTCAAGGCATTCGGGTCATATTGAAAAAATGCCTTGGAAGAATTTCCCACAGTATGTGTATAATGCAGACATACTCAGACTATGATAATTAATCTTCTCAAAGTTAGTCCCAAGCACTATAACTTATCTATATTTCTATATCTTCTCAAAGTTAGTTAAATCTTTCAAGAACTTTATCCCAGCCACACAAACATTGTTCCAATGATCATAACCAATGTTATTATCCTGAAATGCTAATTAGCTTGAGTGGGAAAAATTCAAGACCAAATACTTCTTTGTATATTCTTGCAAGGAAAAAATGATACATTTTGATAAATACATGTACCTTCTAGCTTGGGTGTTTAAAGTGCCTTAATGACACATAAATCAATATGTTCAGCATTGATCGATTCTACATAAAGAGAATAGCTGAATGATTAAATATTTTATTTGAGTCATTGCATCTTGGAGATCTCAAGGTTTATTATACTTCCAAAATGTTAATGAGTGTGATATATATCATAGGCAGACAATTTTTATAAAAATATACAAAACTTTTCAGGGGCAGTAAAAATTACTGTATAAAATATCATTGTCTTAATCACGGTTTAGAGATTAAATGTTATTGTAAATTTGTTTTCTAGTAGATTGCAACCAGTGATTCAATTTACAAATGATGACAATCATGAAATGCTGGTTTATATGATGATAAACCTTGATTTCTCCAAGAAGCATCATACTCAATGCAATTCATGTAAAAATATTTATTTGCAACTAATTGAGCTAGACCTGATCGGAGTCATTCTATTAACTATTACAATTATACCATGTCAGGGGCGGCGGAAGCTGAAAATCTTTCGGGGGGTACTGCAAAAATCTTTGGTGGGGGGGGGGGGGGCACTGAAGATTATATTTAACGCTATGTGATAATGACAATGTTTTGTTAAAACAATGACTAAGAACCAATAATTTTGGGGGAGGCCAGGCCCCCCAAAAAATTTGGTGGGGGGGGGGGCACATGCCCCCCTGGTCCCCCGGTTCTACTGCCCCTGCATGTTGGCCATATGAGTCTTTAGGTCAGAAGCGAAGTATGGTATGTGTTAATTGCTGCAAATAATATTCACGTACAACTTTTCAACCCATCCAAAAATATGACCAATAACTTTTTGATAGTTTTCCATTGAATTTAAACTTTGCTCAAATTCATCTACAATATTCTAATACATTAGTGTCCAAATTAGATAGCTCTTTGTGGGCTAGCTAGTCCTGACAGCCGTTTGCAGTGCTACATGGCCACCCCAGACAAAAATCGCGACTTGCACTTTGCAATAGAMTGCCGTCAATTAAACACGTAGACATCATTTACACGCAGGTGTGATTCAAAAGGTGCCAAAACTTGTCGATTGCTTATGATGAGCCACACTCACCCAGCCTATCCAGGCCGATCTAAACGCGTGTAAATGACGTCAACCTGTTTGATTGATGGCAGCCTATTGCAAAGTGCACCTTGCGATTTTTGTCTGGGGTGGCCGCGTAGCAATACAAACGGCAGTAATAAGGTATCCGGACTACTTTCGTTACTTAGTACATAATGCTTTCGCTGTCATTACTTTCATTACCAATCATGCATATTTGGTAATTTCTTGTAGTAAAAGCTTTATGAAAACATTTGTAAAGCAGTTTTAAATCATTTTTGGGCACTCATGACATGAGATATGACCGATCAAGGCCCAATATTATTGTATTTCAAATGAAACTTTTAGAATATGAAAAAATAGAAAGAAGAATTGCCAGAAAAAAAGGCAAGTTACACTCATGTAAATAAATATCAAAATCTTCAAGAACTATTATCTGAATTAAGACAAGTAAGCCCGTAGCACCATCTGTAACCACTATTTGTAATTATTTGTATTGTTTGTTATGTGTAATCATGATTTATGTTTTTTAATAAATAAAATAATATTTAAATT